TTGGGGGAGCGCTGGTTCTTCAAAGTGTTGCTTCCTGGCTCCAGTGCAGATCCCTCAGCCTGCTAGCACAGATCCTTCATCCAGCTGGCACAGACTTCCTAGATTCCACCATTTACCTCTGGGCCTTCCCAGCACAGATCCAGGAAACAGGCCTGCATGAGATGGTATCGTGGGCTCTGGGCCTCCAGTTGGATTCATGGGAGGCATTGTTATGAGCTCTAGGTATTCAGCTGGACTCATGTAGGACATTTCCCTGGGATCCAGGCCTTCAGCTGGATTCTTGCTCTATAGTGTGTAGACAGATTTCCTGCACTCTCTTGTATATCGTTCTTTGGGTGACTACTACAAAGACATATAAAATATGTGTCCTGTATAATATTGTTTTCCCTTGCAAAATAACCCCCAAACCAACTGAACTGCCACAGAAAGAGTCCATTTTATTCAGTAGCAAAGGTAAGAGGCAAAACAATATGTAGAATGATTATCAATTTATGTTAAAAGCTTTCAGCAAATATTTTTAGTTCACCTATGGGGGAAAAATGCTTCAAATATATTTTAAAAGCTATATGTAAATTCTTACATGGGATTACTTTTGAGGAAGGATTGAATTTTAGAGGAATCAGAATTGTGATTTACCTGTTTTTCTAGTAGTTTTGTGTAACAAGAATGTGGTTTTTTTCTTTGTAATTAAAATATTTAAATAAGACTAGCAATATAAATATTAGCTCTATATAATAGGGATATAATATGGAGAAATAACGAAAAATGTCTGAAATCTGAATATTGTAACATGTCCAAACTTCTCTTGAACATAAAATCACTGTGGACTGTCCTACGTTCGTTGCCATTGGGTGACCCGGGGATTCGGGCTACTTCCCACATGGGGTTCCACATTCCAACACAGGCTTTCATGTTAACCGCTACACAGAACAGAAAGCCTGGAGGAGGCAGACTGGGTTCACGTAACTTGGTCTGAAGGGAAAAATCATGTTCTATTCCTATTGCAGTGTGAAGGGCAGTTGCACTACTTTTCCTACTTACAAGAGTACTGGCAATACAGTTTCCATATGAATGGGGAAAACAAGACACAAAGTGGACCAATTTCAGCCTCTCCAATTAATGTCAGATTGTAAGCACTGAGTAAAAAGTTAGTACTATAACTTGTTTTGAAAATATTCCTCTTTATTCTTGAAGGAGTTTCTAGACATATCAAATGTCTTTGCTGTTCAACAAAATTTTCTGTGGCCTACACGACAGGTGTGTACAAATCAAGGATCATACCATTTCTTCCAAAATGGTCCTGTACATCTCAGCAAGATTTTCTATTCAATAGCATCTTTTCGCACTAATCTTTTCAGTAACCTCTATAACCTCCAAAGATTGAGAATTTGTTTTCTTTCTCTTGGTGCCTGCTCCAAATCCTAACTTGTAAGCTGCTGCTACAGGACACCTGATGAACATACTTAAGTAGCTGTGTAGGTGCTCTTAGGTATAATACAAAAGGCAGAATTTTCCCCTGCAGCAGACAAAAGTCAGGAGAATGGTGGAGAATTGATTTTTATTTTCCTATTTGAGCAAGCATAACTTTCAGGGAGACATTTTCTACCTCTGTGATACTGAATAATTTCTCTATGAAGATTCGCATACCCTTATCTCTAAGGTTCATGAATGTTCTTCTACATGGCCAAAACACTTTACAAATATAATGAAATTATGGAATTTACTTTACAAATAGGTAGCTTATTCAGGATTTCCTGCACAGGCCTGATCTAATTATAGGGTCCCCTATAAATGAATCTCTCCATCTGAAGGGAGAAATGTAACAGGGGGGCAAGTTGGAAAGATTGCAAGCATGAGATACTTTCAACTTCCTATTTTTAACTCAAAAAGTTGTACTCACATGCAAGACTGTAGAGGCCTCAAGAAATTACGGCAGGTCCAGCTGACATCCAGTGAAGGAACTCACTCTCATTCCAACAACTACACTCTTCATAGCACTGGATTCCAAGATCAATGTGACTAAGACTGGGAATAAGATTCTTTCCTGTGTCTCCCCACAAGAATTCAGGTGTTGAAAGCTTGATATGAGCTTATGTAATTGAGCAAACCTCCCAGCAGAACCAACACATACATCTGACCTATACAAGTGTGCCAAAATAAATGTGTGGTATTTTTAAACCTTTAATGTATAGTAATTTGTTATGTCAGCATACAAAACCATTATATCCTCTTGAAAGGACGTGTTTCTTTTTCAAAATCCAGATTCTAGACAAGGTTTCTGATAGCGATTTCTTAGATCCTTTTTTATCTATCACATAGGAGGGAGGCTTAGATTCTTTGCCTATTAGTTAAATTCACTCACCAGTGTATAGATTCATCACCAGTTTCAAGTAAGTCACCAAACATACTTCTAACTTCAACCATTTCTTAAAGCCTAACTTGAATTATTTTTCAAGACACAGTAGATCATGTCAAATTTGACCTAACTCACAAGCCAATTTGGAAAAACAAAGCACTTCGGTGGTAATGCCCAGAGCTGATGAGCAGATACCCGAACATCACTGCCAAAGTGAAGAATCATGCAGAAGGGGCTGTGACCAGAGGGGTTCCGTGCGGAGTGATGTTACAGATAGGGGACATTTGCAAGGCATTTTGATGCTCTAAGTCTAAGCTTTGTTTGCTGAAAGGTGCAGGTCCAGCCTTCAAGGAATGAAGCAGGGTCAGGATGCAGATTTACGAATGAGGGCTCAGGCTGAGACAGCAATATATTTTGGAACGTTCTAGGCCTGGTCCCAACTCCTGGGCAGAGTCCATTATTAAAGAGCCTTGGGGTCAGGGACACATGGAACCTAGGCAAATGAGGCACGTAGGTAGCCCCCAAAAGATGTTTAATTCTCATTTACTAAACCTGGGGTTAGTACATTGGCTTCATGTTTCTTTTCTTCATTGTCTAGAACTATTATGTAGTAGGTGAGAAGAGAAATGAATCGAGACAGACCATTTGCCTTGGGCAGGAAGGAGTGGAAAAAGGGGGCTTTAATGAAACTCAAATTCAGACCAGGGTTCTAACTGACACTTGGGAGTCTTGCACCATCAGAAAAGTTTCAAAGTTGTGTAAGGCTTAAGATCCTTGTGCACTTATTTGAAAAACCTTGCCTCATTGGACTCTTGTGGTGCTTATTTTATTGTTAAGGTTTAAATCTAAAATATTCCCCCAAATTCTCCTGGGTGGAGGGTGACTGGATCATAGGGATGCTATACATATCACTGCATTCATCTACTGAAAGGTTCAGTAGCTCAGTGTATCCTTAGGAATTGGGCCTGGTCAGAAGTGGCAGGAAACTGAGAGTGTGGCCTGGAGCGGTGTACTCCTGTCCCCATCTCCTCCCTCTTTTCTGTTTCCTGGCTCCCGTGGGCTGAGCAGCTTTTCCTCTATCATGCCCCTCTGTCGTCTTGTTTCTGCCTTGGAACTGGCGGCCCATAGACTAAAACTGTGAGCCAAAATATACCTGTTTTCCTATAAGTTGTGTGTGTGTGCTGTACTGTGTGAAGCAACAGAAAAGTGACTAAGACGGGCATCTCTAATTGGCAGTTATTACTTTTATTTCTTTGACCACAGGCGCTGTCAAAATCTTTTCTGTGTTTTTTTTTTTTTTTTAATACCAGGAGATATCAGAGAATATGCACCATTCTGACAAAGCACACAAATCAGCCCAACATGTATAGCAAGCAAAACTAAGTTATTATATAACTTGTAAAGACTGTTGTTTATTTTGGGTTTAAGGGACTTCTCTCCAGTTGGATGCAACTTAAGGCTCTTGACCTTTCTATCAAGAATGAACTCTTTCTATCCCTTTCAACTGCCCTTCTATCCAAACTAAACCTATTTTCATTTATTTCACTCCCAATCAAAACCTATGGTTCACTTAAGAGCTTGCCAAATTATACTCACAGCCGAAGAAAATACTCTTTTAATGTAGCAGGTTCTGTATTTCCCAGGTCAAAGCAAATAATGCCAGAAGACTTGCTTCTGAGCACACTCATAGCAGGTGACATCACCTTTATTTCTCAGAAACTCCCTGGAACTGATGTGTATAATAGCTCATGCCACTGTGCTCAACTGTACTGGGAAAAGGATGCTGGCAGAGTATGAAGGCAGGACCCCTTCCATTAGGAAGGAAGAGTATGCTCTCTGACTTATCTATGACACCAAAGTAACAGCTAACAGCAGTTTGGATTCCACGTATTAGTCTTTGAACTCTGCACACATCATTTTGAGGATGTGGCCCACGTGCAGCACTCCCATAGCCTCGTCTGACCAACTACCCAGTTTAACTTAAAACTGACTCACACTGAAAGACTGGTGGTTTTCTAAATCCTGAACACACTCATCGCAGGTCCATACCTGAGTGTTCTTATCTGAATCATCCTGTCTTTCTAAAAATTTGTTCTTTATGTTTTAAGATGTATCTCACTATCTTCCTCAAACAACAGTTTTTCTTCGACTTTACAATTCAATGTGCATGGGTAAATGTTGTTTACCCTGAAATACCCGACATTTGCACAAAGCATTTCACAAGCAGATGTCTGTGTAACATATGAGAAATAAATGAGACACTGTGTAGAGTTCAACTTTATTGAATCATTTCTTCTGTATTATTGAACAGACTAGTATATTTGAGCATGTATCTCTTAATTTTACAGAACAGAGTATAAGTGATAAAGAAAAACAATAATTTACCACCTTTCGTTTTTTCTCTAATTTAACTTATTTTTCTCCTGGGTCTTTTTCAAGGAAATGCCTAATTTCCTAGTGAGATACATATTGTGTTATCTTGCCTGAAATTACTAAACACAATGGAACATTTTTTCAACTTACTCAAGAAAATAATAAAACTGCCAAAGATATAGCTCAGTGGCACAAGCGCCTGCCTGGCGAGTGCAAGGTCCCGAGTTCGAGTCCCGGTAAAAAAAAAAAAAAAAAAACAGCAGCAATAAAACTTCACTCTTAAGCATCATAAACATTGAAAAATGTATGGCTTATATTATTCATAAATTGAATTATGAAGCTATATAAACTATCTACTAAAAGGAACAACATATAGATATCTAAGTTTCCAAAGTTACCACACAGAACAGAAGCACACACTATACACTATGTTGTTGCCAAGCCTCATGCCACCCTCCACTAAAGAGAACAGTAGCTTTTCTCTTTGAAAGCACAGTCAAGTACCTTTCTTAGACTTCACTTGGGATTAGGAGGGCTGCTGGACCGGACCTTGGCACGTGAGCTGGCCTTGGCACCTGCACGAGCTCTAGCTGCAGCTCTGGCTTGGGCTCTTTCTTCTTCATCTTTCAGTGCTTCCTCATAATAAGGTGAGAAAGAACTAGGAGTGGTATTATGGATCTTGGCCAAAAACTCAAGGACTTGCATCTTGCTGGTCTTAGCATAGGCTTTTGGGCCCCACAGGAATTCATAGCATGGAGGATCGCTGCCAGGTACCTGCTCGTATTTCAGGTACTTTTCTTTCACTAAATCGTGGGTGATGAACTTTGTAGCATCCCCAAAGAAGAAGTGCTGGCTCCCAGAAAATATGCCCATCATATTTAGCACCTCCCAGAGTTGTTCCTCAGTGGCACGGTTGCCATTTGTGAAGATCACGCCCAGGATAGTCATCAAAAGGCCAGTAGTGGGTATATGTCGATTATCACCCATTGTTGCATCTTGGTCTAATTCCATCTTGTTGATGAGGATATAGATATTCTTGTTGGGATCTAGTGCTTTCACATCCAGGCCAAAGATCAACTCCAGGTGATTTGCAGCTTTCCTCAAGACCTTGGAGAATTGATTCTTGCTTATCTGAATTACATTTTTCAGGATTTCAGCCTTTGTAACGGGCTCCTTCAGTTGATACTTATATAGCAGATAGTTTACCAAGCGGGCAACCCTCTCTTCTACAAGGTCGTCTTCTTCATAGGCCTCAGTGGACACCTGTAAGTCCTTTAACATTTCCCCAACTTGGCTGCTGGCGTCTTCCTTAGAACTTGTGTATGAAGCAGCCGTAGCACCAGCAGCCATGGCTCCCTCAAGTTCTTGACCGCTGGTTGCTCCAGCAGCAGATGACATGTCAGGATTATCTGTGGAATGAAGACTTGAAGGAGGGGACTCTTCTTCTTTTTCTACAGAAGCCTGAGGACCCGTTACATTCCCAGCTTCTAGAGCCTGGCGGCGTTTCTCACGGGCACGAAGCTTACTCTTCTGGCCACGAGGCATGATGACTCTAGTCAGAAATAAAAGGTCAGAGTTCAGGAGAGAAGACAGGTGATTCAGTGACCTGGTGCAAAGAGGATGAAATCATGTGATCCTCTTCAGCAGAAAGATACTACCTTGGTTTTACCTGAGGCCAACTTTGTAGATTTCCTTGAAAGCATTCATCAAGGAATTCATCAGGCTCCTTTTCTCTGATGAGCCTTTCCCCTGAGGACCTCGTGGTTGTAACTAGAGTGTGATTTAGCCTATACCCCTTTAGCCCTACTGTGTCCTACTGGACCTGACACAGTGTCCAGAAGACTCCTTCCCTGTAGATCCTCTTCTATTCTGGGGGAAGAGGATATTTTTCTCAATTTACATTCAGGGCCATTACCTTGGCTTCCAGCAGGACTGATGATCTCTATGGATAAGCATACTGATACTGATTCCCTCATCCCAAAGACTTCTCCTCCCTGACTCACTGGGTGAGGAACCAAAGAGGGAATCTCATTTAACCACATCAGCTTTCAGATGACTTGGGATGAAAGCAGTGGCAGAACTCGGTGAGATCTCCCTATCCTGGAGTAATTAGTTATCAGAGTTCTCATCTTTCCCTCTTATAGGGCCTGAATTCCTTCTCTCTACTGATCTGAGACTTAAAACAAGGCCTTTACATCCCTGAGGCTACTGAGGAAGATCTACGGAGCCCTCTAACATACCTTCCCCAGGAACTCCCATTAGGAATAGCAACACTTGCAGGGCTGTGTTCTGAATATTCAGGTTCCTCATCAGGACTCCTCACTTTGGATGCTACTGCTAGGTTCCTTCCCCCGTGCAGATGTAAGGGCTGTACCAATCACACCTAGAGCTTCCTGTGACATTCTACAGTATTACTTTGGGGTAAAGAAGGAGAAACTTGAGGCTTTCATAGGTATATGGATGCACCTTAAGACCATAATATTAAGTGAGATAAATCAGACACATGAGCTTAAATATCACATGGTTTCTCTTATATGAGAAACCCAAAATATAAATAAAGAGCAAAGCAAAAGATAATAGGAAGTAGGGAGATCTTTTTCAAATGGGAAGTGCAACAAAAGATGGAGGAAAGGAGACCAAGAAGGGAGGGGATGGAAAAAGAATTGAAAAAAATGGAAATAGAGGTTTTGCAAATGGGAAGGGGACCAAAAGTTGAAAACAGCAGTGAGGGATGAAAGAGTTAGAGGAAAAAAAAAGAGAATTATGATGTGCTATGTATATGTACCAACTCCCCAAAGTAAATACAATCTTATGTACTTGCAAATAAATACTAGTTTAAAAAAAAAGAAAAAAAGCCGAACACTTGGAGCAGTCCACCACAACAGTGCATCTGTTCAGTTTGACCATAATTTGGGGTGAAGAAATCAATACTCTGTGTGCACCACTACACAGCTGGGTGTAGTGGTGCATGCCTGTAATCTCAGCCCTTATGAGGCTGAGGCAAGAGAATCTCCATGAGTTTGAGGCCAGCCTAGGCTACATAAGTGAGTTCAAAGCCAGCCTGCACTACACAGTCAGACCCTGGGTTTTTTTTTTTTTTTTTTTTAAAAAAAGAGAGGGGCTGGGGATTTAGCTCAGTGGCAAAAGTGCCTGCCTGGCAAGCGCAAGGTCGTGAGTTCGGTTCCCGGTACCGGAGAAAAACCAAAAAAAA